GGTATCCACCACACAGCTGTTTGAAGTGATTTTTCTGGCCAGTTAATCCCTATTTTCCATTTTTCCATTTTTCCATTTTTTTATTTTTATACACACACCACACCACATACTCCGGCATACACTAGCTGTTGGTAACCACCCAGGAGAATGAAATAAGTCAGGAAGAGTCCGAGAAAGAGAAGAAAGACGTGTGCGACCATAATCGGCGGGAATTGAACCCGCAACCTCGATTGGAAATCGACTGCACATACCACTGCACCATCTGGGACACACACACACACACACACACACACACACACACACACACACACACACACACACACATGACATACAACTTTGCTCAAACATGCACACACAAACACACACACACACACACACTCCTTCCTAAAAACTCCTTTCGTCTCCTACTGCGTGCGATAGATGGCTCCATTCGCGGGCTTGCAAGGCCTCGCGATGGGTCCAACAGCGGAAAACAGAGTCAGAGTGACGAGAACCGAAGTTCGTCCTGTAATCTGCTCTGTTGACTTTCCGCTGTGGACTTCTACTGGGAACTGTCCCAAGGACGACCCTGGATGCCCAGAGTCATCCCTGAGAACTGAAAGCTAACAAAAACTAATCAAACAATGAGAGCTACAAAATTCCTAACTGACTCCTGTAGACACACACACACACACACACACACACACACACACACACACACACACACACACACACACACACACACACACACCAGTGTACGTCTGCGGGCACACACACACATCAGCGCATGTAAGGTTGCTCACCAGTAAACGCCGGCGCGCGCGCACGCACTCCCCCCCCCCCCCCCACACACCATGTACCACACACACCATGTACCACACACACACACAAACACACACACACATCATTGCATTCACTGGCGCGTGCGCACACACGAATGCACACACCAGTGAACGCCCGTGCACGCATAAACACACCCGCGGACATGCACACACAGACCGACAAACGCACACACACACACACACACACACACACACACACACACACACACACACACACACACACACACACACACGAGTGCACTCTCACAAACACACCAGTGCACACACACACACACACACACACACACACACCAGTGCACTCTCACACACACACCAGTGCACTCTCACAAACACACCAGTGTACTCTCACAAACACACCAGTGCACTCTCACAAACACATCAGTGCACTCTCACAAACACACCAGTGCACTCTCACACACACACCAGTGCACTCTCACAAACACACCAGTGCACTCTCACAAACACACCAGTGCACTCTCACAAACACACCAGTGCACTCTCACAAACACACCAGTGCACTCTCACAAACACACCAGTGCACTCTCACAAACACACCAGTGCACTCTCACACACACACCAGTGCACTCTCACAAACACACCAGTGCACTCTCACAAACACACCAGTGCACTCTCACAAACACATCAGTGCACTCCCACAAACACACCAGTGCACTCTCACAAACACACCAGTGTACTCTCGCAAACACACCAGTGCACTCTCACAAACACACCAGTGCACTCTCACAAACACACCAGTGCACTCTCACAAACACACCAGTGCACTCTCACAAACACACCAGTGCACTCTCACAAACACACCAGTGCACTCTCACAAACACACCAGTGCACTCTCACAAACACACCAGTGCACTCTCACAAACACACCAGTGCACTCTCACAAACACACCAGTGCACTCTCACAAACACACCAGTGCACTCTCACATACACACCAGTGCACTCTCACAAACACACCGGTGCACTCTCACAAACACACCAGTGCACTCTCACAAACACACCAGTGCACTCTCACAAACACACCAGTGTACTCTCACAAACACACCAGTGCACTCTCACAAACACACCAGTGTACTCTCACAAACACACCAGTGCACTCTCACAAACACAGCAGTGCACTCTCACAAACACACCAGTGCACTCTCACAAACACACCAGTGTACTCTCACAAACACACCAGTGCACTCTCACAAACACACCAGTGCACTCTCACAAACACACCAGTGCACTCTCACAAACACACCAGTGCACTCTCACAAACACACCAGTGCACTCTCACAAACACACCAGGTCACTCTCACAAACACACCAGTGCACTCTCACAAACACACCAGTGCACTCTCACAAACACACCAGTGCACGCGTGCACCACTCACACATACATATGCAGGCAAACAATTACAATCGGTCCCAGCATACATCCTGAGGAACCAGGCCATTGTTATCAAAAGACATCTCCTATTTGCAACTCGAAATGTTTATACCAAGTGTCCATAAACAAGAGTAGGCAATTGTGATCTCTTTCCTATGGGCCAGATGCGCGGCGCGCTGCCTTCATTACATCATTCAGCTGCAGTCCGGGCACTGCAGAAAATCAAACACCCTGTCTCTGGGGAAAATCGCGGAAAAAATCCCAGAATTTGCGGTAGATATGGCATAATTTGCGGTGAACTTGCGGTAAATATGCGGTAAATATGCGGTGAATATTATTGATATGCGGCAAGTTTGCAGTTGATATGAGTCAATTTTCAGTGAGTATGTAGTGAAATCAATCAGGTATAAGTCTCTGGTATAAGCACTCGTCATATTGAGTACAAAGCCGTCACGATGAGACGTTGCTGACCCAATAGTGCACTGTGTGTACATGTACTGCAAGAAAAGAGTTCAAAAATGTGGAAAAATAGCGGAAAACGCGTAAAAAATTGCAAAAAACGCGGAAGCGAAGGCTATAGCTTGTGTGTTTCTGAACATTCAAGTGATGCTAACGCGGATCCCGCGAATATTATTATAAAACGCGGAAAAAACGCGGCCACGGAATCGCGATTTTCCCCGGGGACAGAACACCGCACTTTCCCTCTGGTTTGAAATGGACTTTTGTACGGAAGTGGAGTTTACACGCCAAAATTTAGAGATCGCGTAGGCACTGGAAGGAATGGAGCAAAAATGGATGGGCTCGTAGGAGAAATTGTGAGTTTGAGAGCATACTTTCAGAGCGTGATGAAGGCAAGTTACGTAATGAAGGCAGCGCGCCACGCACTGACCCATAACCACAGTTGCATACTCTTGTTAATGCACTCTTGCCTATATTGGAGAAACTAAAATCTCTTACCTGGCCAGCTATGTTGAGAAATGTCACTGACAAAAGACAGGCGCACCTGTCATCTTCGCAAGCTTGTGACATTTAGCAGTAACCCTTCATACAGCTGGCGACTGCATTTCACCTTCCTTTTGCCACCACCGCGACTCCTTGTGTCACAACCACTCGCTCACACAGCGCAAACTGTTCATGTCTTGTGCAGCGACTTTCGGAACTGGTCGCCGGGCAGCATGATGCACGAATTATTCTTCTGTCAGCTTGACAGCTTCCCCATGCTTCTGCCAAACTTTCTGGTCGGCCTTCACGAACAACACAGCCATCACGATTCAGTAGCCGTAAACTCTTCACGGTTATCAGCGCAGCACACCAGAAGGTCAAGGAAGGAGATTTGCTGCTTGGTATCGATCTATCTTACAAACTTAGAATAGTTACCGGATCGTTACAGGGTCGTTGATTTACGCCCAGAGTCATCAACTCTGCAATAGCCATACCTACTGTACTACGATATAAATGTAGAATCAGTGGTATAGGGCTTCTGCGTCAAGGAAGGCAAATTAGTTTCGTGATTTGTAGAAAAGGAAAAGACCATTGCATATTGAGTAATTAGGTTCGTGATTTGTAGAAAAGGAAAAGACCATTGCGTATTGAACTGAAATGGGAACAGCCACGATTAATTCCAAAGTTCAAAAAATCTGCGAAAGGTTTAGCGCGCTCTCGCTTGATTTTCACCGCTTGAAACGTGATTCGACCCCGCAATCCTTGTCATATCGAGCGCATGCGACTTATAGTCCAAAGATTATAACAAACCAGAGAGGTTTAGACTCGCTATGATGATGCTCTCGTCGTTCTCCTCTATCCCTATCTATGCACCACAACTGGCTCAGACAACCGACTCGCCATGATCAGCCATGATGATGCTCCTCTCAGTAACAGCCCTTGTAATTTGTTAATAGTCTCACAGTTTCTCCCGCACACTCGCTGATGTTAACCCTTCCTTTCTTTTCATTTTGCTGACTCGTACAGCTCTATCTTTTGTTTTTGGTGCGTGTTTTTGGCCGTGATGCCGAGACCTCAGGTCGGCAGAGCCATCAATGCCCCACCATCACTGCTGCGTCTCGGTGCAGCCCCTGCTCAATAGTTGTCACGTTCGTCCTAGTCTCAGTATCATTGTCTTTCTTTATTATTTTCGAGCTGGGAGTGTGAACATAGTAAAAAAAAAAAAAAAAAAAAAAAAAAATGCTAAACCCGCAATCTAAAGTCGACGGAAACAAAGCCTCGCAACACGCAAGTCTCCGGCTCCTAGAATACAGGCTACATGTATACAGCTACAGGACTGCCCACATTTTTCCAGGCTGCTCACACAGTTCTCAGTGAACCACTTCGACAGGCCGGGGGGGGGGGGGGTGGGGGCGGGGGGGGGGGGGGGGGGGGACGCAATTTCACTTTCTGGCACTTGTCTGGCTCGAGCGCTGCTTCGGTGAAAAAAAACTTCAAAAAAGAGTTGATCAGTAATTATGACTGTGATTTCTGCATGACTTTAATTATGGTAATTATTATGCAGATGATGAAGACACGATCGATACTCAGAATCCCTTGAGGACTGACGATGGCGGAGGATCACAAATTACCAGCGTCTCTCCTGAAGGCGCAGACACGATTGCGTGATGCAGTAAAGGATCGTGGTGTGCAGATCAGCGGGGGTTTAGGAACAGATAGGGAAATAGCTTTGGGCGAGCTCTTTGTCAATCTTACTCTGCTGACGAAGGATGAAGTAGAAACACTTTTCAAGAGCGAGTCGTTCTTTTCCTCCGAAACTGAGAGAGCACGCCAGCTAGATGCTATCAGAGCAGCTCAGGATGGAAAGTCCGCAAAGACACGTGGCATTGAACTTAGCGAGATCTTCTCTGACACGGGTAGCGATAGTGCAAAGGGCCAAACAGGCGCCAGCGGAGTAGTTGATTCCGAATGTGGACTTCTGTCTCGTGCAGCTAGCAACGTGTCCATTGGAGTGAATAAGAATAACGTGCTTGCGTTTGGCAGTGCGGGCAGTGGCAAATCTACAATCTTCCTTCTAATGCTGGAATACCTGTGGGCTATAGATTCGCTGTTGAAGGAGAAGATTGATCTTGTCTTGGCTGTTGAGTTACGACGTGCTGAGGTGCGATCTGCAACTAACCTGTGTGAGTTGCTGGCTGCTCGATTCGACAGGTTGGACATGGAACAAGATGAGCTGGAGGAGATAGCTCGCTACTTTCGCCGTCATCCGTCACGTCTCTGTGTTGTGCTTGACGGCATGGACGAATGCAGCCTGGAGAAATGTAGCCCGTACATGCAAGACATGCTGTTGAGGGAACGCAGTGTTGATATGCATGTGGTGGTCACATCTCGACCATGCGCCGATGCTTACAAGTTAAGCCAATGTGGAAAGTACCATCAACAACTGGAGGTTATCGGATTTTCACAAGAGAACGTGAAGACGTACGTGAGAAAAGTGGTGGGCGGAAAACAAGCGGAGGAGATGCTGGAGAAGCTGCATGCACAGCCGGACATGCTAGCATTGATGGGAACTCCATTATTTGCTGCTCTGGCATGTGAGCTGTACCACAGCGGACGTGGCTTGGCGAAATCGAGCACAGCGTTGTACGAGTCGCTACTTCTACGCGTCTTGGAGCGGAATGCAGGCAAATTGCACAAGTCGTTTGCCGAGACGGATGCACAGGAGATGGAGTTGCTGTACGAGGTCTCCCGCTTTGCACTTGCAATGTTGTCGGAGAAAAACGCTGTGTTCAGCGAGTCGGAAGTGAAAAGCGCCGGTCTAAGTGATGCCGCTCTTCAGCTTGGACTACTAATTGCTTACAAAGACGGCACCTCGACTGAGAACCGACAGTACCGCTTCGCTCACCTGTCCCTACAGGAGTTCATGTCGGCATGGTATCTGTCACGCGAAGTGCTGAAGGACGAGCATGACGCGGCATGGCTGGTGAAGAGAGTCGGTCATTACAGTGGTCACATGACAATGTTCTGGCGCTTCGTCATCACACTGTTACCGCGCAAACCCTCGTTCGTCGTCATAGAGCATCTCTGGCGGCTAATCTGTGAGGAGCGTACATCGTCAACATCGGACACTGCCGACTCTCGTCTTGTGGCTCACATTGTCAGCTACTCCCATCGCAAGACTGCACGTCCGGGTCTTGAAAGGATGCAGTCCATGCTTTGTGCAACGCTAACGTATGAGAAAATGAAAGAACTAGCCGACAAGCTGCTGGAGGAGACGTGCGGCGAGGGCAGCGGCTGCCAACGTGTCGAGAGCGCCTTGCCACGGGGGAGAGAGTTGACGGATGAACTATTTCTGTCCACTCTCATCGATGTGTGGAAGAAAGAGGCAGTGGATCCCAACACGGAAGTATTCCTCACTGCTGTGCGCAACGTCAATCCCGTAACGGCATTGCAATGCGAGCCTATGATGCGTCCACTCGCCAAGATGTCCAACCCGTCATCCACCGAGGACGCTACTGCTACTGCTATGCCTGCAGTTCGTCCAGCGGAGTCGACCGAGGAACGGCGCTATCTAGTTCATCTTCTGGTGGCTCATCATGAACACTGCCAGTATCAAGGTGCGTCCTGTGATGGTCATTGTTCATTCTTTTCACAAGTGTTTCACAAAGGCCTTTGGTTTTCGAGGGTACGGCTATCACTTTTTGATTGTGTATCTATTGGGCACTTTCTCAGCACACATTATTGCTTTGATAGCAGTACCATCAATATTTATGGTTCTCACTGTGGGAATGCTGGTCTGCGACGCGTTGCTGCTGGTCTGTCGCACTGCAAGGGTGTACGCACGCTAGATCTTCGCAGGAATGATTGTGATGATGGCAGTATACTGTCGTCCATCATTCAGTCTTTGTCAGGCAGTCTAGTGTATGTCAGTGTGTATAGTAATCCTGTAGATAGTGATGGTGTTGTATCAGTGTGTAAAGCATTGTCTACTTGTTCTAAGCTAAGTGTAGCCTATGTGTCCTACCCACTCACTTACCATGGTGATCGTGTAGGTGTTGTTGTCCCTCTGTCATGTGTTAGTGAAGTTGTTGAGTCATGCCCTAACCTGTGTAGGCTGTTTGCACGGGGGTGTGGTTTCCAGTATGATGATGATTGTTTGGAAAGGCTTGTGAGAGCTGTTCGGTCTCATGCTGTGTTGCGTACACTACGGGTTACACAGTCGGAGAATGCCAGACTGGTGTCCCGGCTTCAGCAGCTTGTCCTTGACCCTACCTGTACCCTGACCTCACTTTGGTGATGGTGATGACTGTGTTTGTAGTATGTGTACATTATGTGAGTGTGTAGATGATTAGTTTCCTGATTCGTCTCTTGAGCACAGACCAGCAGCAGCAGCAAAGCCTAGACCAGTTCTTTTTTTCTACCTATCTAATGTACATAGAGAAGACACTACTGTCGTCAAACTTGAATTTTCATTTTTCTATTGATTGAAATAATTTCCATGTCTATACCCCACTCTCGTAGTACAACCACTGTAGAGAATACATTGTATTTTTTCTTAGTACTTCGAAGTAGCTCTGCTTATAACAGTCTCTTTTCCCCGAGTGTGCGTTTTTTTCTTAAGTATTTTTGCTGTTCATGAACTTGTATCTGGCTGACTAATCACGGCCAAGTTGTAATATTATAATTTACAAATGTAATACCAACCCTAGGTCTAATCCGCTGATGATCAAATTAAATGTGCTGAGCCTGTCTTTTGACATTGTGTGATACTGGACTGTGTGCGCATGTGGGTGCACATGAGCGAGCTTTTCTGTTGGGTGCGGGTGGGGTGCGCGCGCATGTGTGTGTTTGTGTGTGTGTGTGTGTAGCAGCTAGTTCGGTTGGTGGGTACGCTTCTGCCAAATGGTGTTGGGTCTGTGACCAACAGGCTGGGCTGCTTGAAGGTGTAATGTTGTACCTGCCACCTTTATTGGTCCCAGGGTTCATATCATTTCTATTTGAAGAATGTTATAACAAGACAAACTGTCCGCTATGTTACACTCTGGTACTGAATCTCACTGTTGATAACAAACTGATATACTGTGAAGAACGAGGAATCTCTGTGAACCACGAAACTCTGAAAACGCAAGCAAAACTCTGAGCTGCGAAATAACAATTGCAAGCGGCGCAAGCAAACTCTAGACTGACTCTACCTCTCGTAGGTCTTACTCGACATCAGTAGGTCTAAGTAACTCTAACAAACAAACTCTACATCTAACAAATATAGCACGGAACATGTGAATATAAAGGAGCTGATTGCAAGCAGCGCCAGCCAAAGTGCAGGGATGCAAAGAGACACGGAGAGCAGGAAAGCGCTCCGAAGGAGACGCAAAGGAAACATGAGCGCTCGCAACAGACCCGGGTCACGAAGGAAGTGCAGTGCAGTGACAGGTACGGGAAAACAAATGCATTGATTGGTGAATGACTGAAAACTGACCCACCGTACTGGAGCCAGCGGCAAAGGGTATCAATGCACACTGGATTTAGTCATGCGGTCATCAGGTCATGCGTGACCATGGTGACATGATACTACACACGGTGTAAGGCTACAG